ACCCCCCAATCCCTAAACCCGCAACCCTAAACCCTAAACCCAAACCCCCAATCCCTAAACCCTAAACCCTAAACCCGAAACCCGAAACCCTAAACCCTAAACCCTAACCCCCAATCCCTAAACCCTAAACCCTAAACCCTAAACCCTAAACCCGAAACCCTAAACCCTAAACCCTAAACCCTTTTATTGGTAGGTTCGCATTTGACTCTGGCCCGACCCTGTGGTGCAGCGGCTGCAGCTGTGATCGCCGGGTCGTTGCCTGGTTTTTGCACTTGTTCACAGAGACTTAGGGTTTAGGGTTTAGGGTTTAGGGGCTTTGGGTTTAGTAGGGTTTGGGGTGTATGGTTTCGGGTTTCGGGTTTAGCGAAAATGGTTTCGGGTTTAGGGTTCATATAGGGTTTGGGAGAGGTTTAGGGTTTCGGATTTAGTGTAAGGTTTAGGGCCAAACCCTTCAGAGCCTTCCCGAAGCCTCCAACCGAGAAATCTAACCCCGCTGCCTTGGGACCTGAATTTTGGCCCTGAGCCCTAAACCCTATACACCCTATGGCCCTATAAACCCTAAACCCTACAAGCCCTACAAACCCTAAACCCTACAAGCCCTAAACTCTAAAAACCCTAAACCCTGTAAACCCTCTAAACCCTATAAACCCTAAACCCTATAAGCCCTACAACCCTAAACCCTAAACCCTAAACCCTATAAACCCTAAACCCTATAAGCCCTACAAGCCCTATAATCGCTTTAGTATTCAGGGCCCGGGGTCTCCAGGTCAGGATGACTTCTAGGACTTTACTTCTTGCGGATCTCTTTGCATTAGGGTTTAGGGTTTAGGGTTTAGGGTTTAGGGTTTAGGGTTTAGGGTTTCGTTACTAAGAATTAGGTAGCGGCAAGTGGCTAGTTCTAAAAATTCGGGTTCCTTTTTAGGCCCCCCATATAGTACGGCACCCTTATAAACAGGACCCTGAAACGGACCCCACCGTAGAGAACTACTCACGTAGGACTTGGATCCCTAGGGAAAAATGAATACATATTCTGTCCCATGTACGTCCGTTGTTGTTGTTACCAGGCTCATGCCTTAGAATTTAAACAGTCCTCACCATGGAGTTGGTGGACCCAGCAGGAAGTAATATACGGGCTTGAATAAGTGCCAAAACTCTTACTTCAAATTCCTCATAATCTTATAGCTTTACCCCAAGAACCCTGTTCCACTTTTCAGGTTCCCAAAATATGTTGTTTTCAATATCATTTTGAGGTGCAATTACAGTACAACGGTGCAGTGTATAGGGCCTGAAAGGAATGATTTTGTGGTTGATTCAGAGCCATGTCTTGTGGTGTGTAGCTGTCTCATTGGCCGTCATTTTGATGGACTTGTCCTGAATGAAAGAACATGAATTCGAAACCTAAACCCTCAACCCCTACTAAACCCTAAAACCCTAAGCCCTAAACCCTAAACCCTCAGCCCTAAACTCTAAACCGTAGACTCTAAACCCTAAGCCTCTAAACCCTAAGCCCTAAACCCCTTAAAGTCCTAGACTCTAAACCCTAAACCCTACAAAACCCCCTAAACCCTAAACCGATAGACCCTAAACTCTAAACCCCTATACACTATACACATCCTTCAACAACGGATCTGCGACCCCCTGACTGAACTTTTCTTGAAGGAGTCTTTCCCTCTTAATCAAAAGTCCCCAAGCCTTAGAAGCTCTGAATTCTCAATCCTGAAACCTGAGCCCTAAAGCACTGACTGATCATACTTTCGGGTTTGGGGTTTAGGGTTTAGGGTTTAGGGTTTAGCGGCTCAACATTGGAGTTGTGAAGTTCACCAGCCTCAGGTTCGATCACCTTGAAAAGCCCGACCCCCAACAGCCTAACCCTAAACCCTAAACCCTAAACCCTAAACCCTAAATCCCTAAACCCTAAACCCTAAACCCTAAACCCTAAACCCTAAACCCTAAAACCCTAAACCCAAACTCTAAACCCCATAAACCCCTAAACTAAACCCTAAGCCCTAAACTCTAAACTTCATGTCGTACTGTACTCAGTGTAAGCCTGCAATAAGGCAGGCTCCGACTGCTTGCAGAAAAGGAGCCACTACACTTTAAAAGAAAAAGCTCTAAACTTTAGACCCTAGACCCTAAACCCTAAACCCTAAACCCTAAACCCTAAACCCTAAGCCCTAAACCCGCAACCCTAAATCCAATTCGGTGTGAAAGGCTCTGGGGCACCGCTCGCCGTGCCCGGCTCCGGGAGGGCGACGACTGCTCGGCCGTGCTGCGCTGGGCCTTTGGACTCGAAATTCAGCCCATACCCTTAGGGTTTAGAGTTTAGGGTTTAGGGTTTGGGGTTTAGGGTTTAGGGTTTAGGGTTTAGGGTTTAGGGTTTAGGGTTTAGAGTTGAGGGTTGAGGGTTGAGGGTTTAGGGGGTTTAGAGTTT